GTTCCCTTGAAATGAAATTGCACGTGTCAGCACCTTAACAGTATATATGGCATATATACATACACAAATATATATGGCAGTGCCGAATACAAAATTACATTACAAACATTATTTTGTAATACGATAGTGGTTTATCCCTCGATATTGGCAAGGCGCCACTTTTGTACTTCGAGGTACCTTGAATTAGCCCCCTTGTACTTCGCTGGGTTGACTGACCTTCGGGTCATGCCAGTGGTCCAAACGCCTTTTCTGTGCTGAATATGTATATTCTGCTCGAGTATTGTGTCTTCTTTTGCCTTCAGGGAGTCTCAGGACGCCACACTGGTGGCAGCGGAAAGTGACCCCGATTTTAAAGGACATGTTTCCTGATTTTCCACTTTCGCGTGATAAGCCTTAGTAGAGCGGAAGAAGTACGTATGCTACAGATGGGAGAATGATGATGACTCCTAATAGAAGGGTTGAAGTTGACGTCTACCTTCGGCATCTATCCCAGTCCGTGTTTTGCAGGAGAACTATTAACAACTGAAGCGACACTAGCCGTGAACCATCTGGAAGTTTCGTTACGAATTTTCCCTACTGTCCCCCATGGTCCTGTATTAAATCCCACCCTTCCTTACACAAATCTACTTTTAGGCCAGTGTTCCTACATCCATCTATGGACACGCATGATTGCCAGCACATTTCCCTGTTCCTGAATCAAGTTCCCAAAATGGACTGAACTGCAGATCCACTTAAATTGCCAAGAGGGATCAGTGACGTTGAGGTCAAGTTTCTCCCCAGTTGCACGCTGATTTGGTGACTGGAACGGCCGCATCGCGGGTGTTTCTTTACAGCACCGATTACGTTGTAATGGCTGACGCGGGAGGTTGACCAGCGGGAGAGCAGGGGACTACGCTCAAAAGAGGAGGGAGGCTATGTAATACGATGGTTATTTGTCCTCGGTATTGGGGAGGAGCTACTTTTGAGTTGGCCTTCTTGTACCACTCTGGGTGGGCTGGCTTTCCGGCGATGCCAGTAGTCCGAACACCTTTGTGCTAAATATGTATTCTGTCTTCTTTCGTCTTCAGAGAAGTCTCGGGACGCTATAATATGGTCGCTTTATCGACAATTTCCAAGGGTGGGAATGCAGATCTCATCATCAGAGCAATTGCCAATGTGGGGTGCCTCGAGACTTCTCTAAAGACTATTAAGGACGTAATGGTAGGGCAGAATGCGCATTATCGACCTTCTGTGGAATCAGACGCATAGATCTTCTTTCCCCTGGCACTCATACTCTTTGAATACCCGGGCCGATTCGGTTCTGTGGTATTTGGTGGGATAAGTAAATGAGGAGAGCAAGTATGAGTTCGGAGGGGGGGGGGGGGGTGGACGCGGAACCTTTCTTCGGGTTGCAGGAATTTGACTCCTTAGTCACGAGTTTCGACTCGTATACCGGCCTCCTCTCTGGAAGGAACACTAGAACATCACTATCGCGCTACAGGTGGGGTGGGAGGCTACCGGCACAACTCAGAGGCCATGCCACTGGGTGGAAGTCCCGTGCCACCAAAACTGCAAGCTTAAACAAGCAAAACATTCCGTTGCCCCCCTCCCCTTTTAAGCGTTGGCTCCTACTCTCCCTCTAATTTCATGCATTGGCTAGCACATGAAAAAACATCTGTGAGTAAACCGCACCAGTCATCGGATTTTCATGCAACTGAGAAGGTATATGACTGGATCTGGTATTTCGCCCTGTTTGGGAATTGCTTTTGGGGAAAGGGATGTGCGGACAATTTCCCACGTCTATCGCTAGTCATAAGAACGCTGACCTAAAATCAGAGTCACTTAACATAGGAATGAGTTAAAGTGTTTTGTGTAAAAAAAATGTCATTGCTGTTCCACCTTGCCATGATGTTTTTATCGCATCTGTCTGGGCTCTATTCAGCTACTGGAGAGGTGGCGGAGGTGTCGCGTGTTCAATTAGTTGACATCTTTATGCAGGTGTGGTAAGCAGCTCCGCAACGAACTTTTACTAGTAGCTCACAGCCAAAGTCGTTTCAGTTGTTAATAGCATCCATGCACAATACAGAACTGAAGTAGTTACTAAAAGTAGGCGATATCCTAAACTCTTCGGTTAGGATTTGGCACGGATGTATCCAACCGCAGAATATACCCCTCGCTGTCGTGTTAAGCTTCATCATCCAGTGTTAGGAATCGGAGTACCTGTACTTCGGGACCAGGCTCACTTTCCACCGACACCGATGTAGCGGTCGAGACTTGAAGGCTAAAGAAATACTTTATTATCGACATACAGACGGGACGAGAGGCTATGCCCTTCAGTGCCCGCGTAACCAAAACGAAAATTGAAAGAAATTGAAATCCACAAATGCACTCCGATTACCTTAAGCCCAACTTCAGACACCAATTTAAACCCCCCAACACTACCGTTTAATCAAGTTACAACCTACTCGAGCCCAAAGATTGCGAAATCCGTTGATGATATTTGATGATATCTGGATCAAACAGATTGGACAGGAATTTGTAATGGCAATCATCGACCAAGGGGCAGGAACCGGATAAGAGGAAGGTATGTTAGAAAAATGTAATTGATGCCGCACCGCCGAAAGGCAACTTTATGTAACGCTCAAAGATTAACATGGAAAACTACGGGACGGCTGAAATTTGAGACATTGCGATTCCACGCTCGATTAACAACGTCCCTGTTCAAATTTCCTCTCCCATTAAGTGATGGCGCTCTTGAGTTCTGAACAGCTGCAGCGAAGCTGAAAAGTGAAAGGAAAGACTCATTAACACCAGTACCGGTTAGATTGAAATACAGAACGATACCTCTCCATTGCATACGAACACAGAGTTTAAAGATCGTGTTGAAGGAGACTGAAACTCCTTCATTATTACTGACTCGGGTGTTACTAAAACCCCCGACTAATAACATGCATTTATTCTCCCACGGTAAGTAAATACTAAAGCTCAAAGGAAACCTACTCTGGCACATCTGACTTTGGTAGATTGAACACCTCCACTATTCCTTTTATGCAGCATTTCTAATTGTTAAGCAGCAGTAAGTGATAATTTCAAAAGTTTGTAAGAAAACTACGTTGCCGCGAAAGCCCTTCTATTTATGCATTTAAGCCCTTATCACCCAAACTTTCAAAGCACGGATAAAGTTAAAAACCATGTCTATGCTAAGGTTGGACGAGATTTGATAAACACTGCCAATCACTGTTCAAAATTGTGTGTCCCAACTTGTAATCAGATTTTTGAATACATTAACAGGGAAGAATCAAAAGGTTCTCATTGTAAAGTGTACATGCAAGGAGGTCAAGTTATGAGATCAAATGTGACGGGTAAACGAACTGTGTCCATTTTAAAAAGATACCATCAGTTAATACTCTCCTTTGGATAGAATTTTGAACAGACCGGAAGCATTATAAGCTCCTGGTATTGATTCCATTCAACGGTTCCAACGGAGAGCGATTAATGGATTCGTGAATCTAGCCCTGTTGCATGTAAATTGCGGCAAAACTGACTGGATGAATCGCTAACAATAGAATGGGAAACCTCCTAATGCTGACGTGAAATGATGACGATTTCTGTCACATAGAGGATTCAAAGTTCACTACGGTAGTCATCACAGAAACATTATGTTCGATGATATCGAAGAAGGGCCTCATTAGGTACGGCAGTAGTGGTTTAAACGCATGGACGTCACAATTACTCGAATACCTACGTAACGACATCTAGGGGGAATACGTGTGGATCTAATCAGTTCAAACAGACGCTTCCGCACCAATACAAAGAATCTCAAATATACACCTCTTAGAGCAACTTGAACACTATCAAAAGTAATAACAGTTTTATGCAATTCTCACCCTCCAGAGGATTTTAAAGCGGACCCCTTTAAAGTGGTGGTAGAGGAGGATGCCAGCGGTGTCGTCAGAGTGACAATCATGGGTCGACCATCGAGTTCACGCCCGTTGTAACGCGTCACCGCTGATTGGGCATCTTGTGGGGAGTTGAAGATGACTTCCGCCTGACCCGGGTGCACCAAATTGCAGGAACGCAGGGAACCGACACCGGAAAATAGCTCCTACAGAAGTAGTAACAAAGTGCCTTCCAATTACGACCATGAAGCACATCCTTGGATTGTTGATGATAAAAGGGCTTTTCCAAATAATATGTACAATCATGATCAAAAAGCGGCGGAGATAATTCGACAAAACTCCAACAAAAAATGCGAAATCATAGCAAGCAAATATAGAGGACGCTATCAGTTGAATGATGAACATGTCATGAGCTCCCAGAGGAAGTCACAGAGCCAAACCAAATTGATTTTATAGTGAAAAGAACACTAAAATCATTTGGGGAAAAATTAATAAAAATTGCATTTGTGAGACAGGGATAAATGCAACATTCATAGGGAAATAAAATTTGACCGAAGTAATCAAATGACTGATGACAAAAGACGCATCGAGGAAAGATGCAGCAGACAAGTGAGTCTTCTTGCTAAAAAAGACAATTTATTTAGACGGCAGGCCAAGTCCCATTTTGGCTCAAGAAGACGAGGTGTAGTAACTAGATGACTTGTAAGTATGCCAAAAACAATACTATTTAAAATGTTCTGGCAATTTGATCATTGAAACAAGGTATTCTACTCGATTTGTGCAATTGAACACTTTTACGCGAACCTCGACAAAACCTGAAAAAAAAATTTTAACGTATGATAAGAATCGCAATCGAAGACTGATATTATTATTTCTATTTCACTTAGACCAAAATCAAATTCACACAAGGTTCAGCAGATAACCAAATTACAAAATCGGTCATTCTCCTTAATTATTAAACAGTATGACAACCTTGGGAAACTAATTCGAAACACACTTCAAAGAATAAGGCAACTATTCGTCACCTTTAGACATACAGGATGCACAAACCATCACAAAAGTATTCAACAAGATCGAGCAAATATGAAAACTTCGGGAACACATAACGATGTAAACAATTGCTTAAAAACGCTTGCTAAAGTTTCCTCGAAACGAATACCTCAAATATCGGATAGGAGACTGAGAGCTTAGGGGCCATCTCAGAACACGCTTGAACGTTATTGTAAAATAGTGAGAAAGCACCGGAGCTTACAATAAGCGAATATGTAGACTACCCGCTAGAACCAAGCATGCAAGGAGGAAAGATACTGCAAAATCTGCGACTATGAGTCAGCAATTCACGTCCACATCCGACAAAACGCATAAGAAATTCTACACATCGGACCTTCGAAATTAAACTAGCGAAAGACAATAGCAACCAAGGGATCTTACGTAGACGTCATCAATGGTGACGGAAGGCAGGAGATTTTTCGCCTCAACTCGAAAGCCTTGAATAGGGCTAATGGTAGAATCAACGGTGCTGCCCTGTGCTAACATGCCTGCTCCCGTGGGTTTATTTTCTACAGTACGCGTCAATGGCCTAGATGTAGAAATCGCCGAGGAACTCCATTGACGCGTTAAAGGGATCTGAGAGGGCGAAAATTATGACTCAGATGGTTGATAGCTTAAAAGAGGAAAAACCAAAAATATGTGACCAAGTCAAATTACCGGATTCACACCCCTAAAGTATTCATTTGTGATCTATAAAGAGAGGTAACTAAGATTAACATCAACGAAAAAAGCAAAATCTAAGAAAAGGCACATGCAACTATTGAAAATTCATTCCAATGAAGAAACAGATTCTAAGCCAATGTCAACTTACAGTTCGTCTGGGAATCAGAAAAGGCACATTTACTTCCCGAGTTAAACCAGGCCTAGAAACTTGAATGTAATTTTTTAGACGTCTGCTAAACTGCCTTTTTTGCATCAGTAGTCTGCGCGCATCAATCCGCCTGGGAGCTCCCCTGAGATTGTTTAGAATTTTAATGCGAAGGTCGGTAGACATATTTTGTCTCCTTATATTCATTCCATCTTCTCGATTACTACCCAAACGATCCCTTTAAATGCAGTGATGTATACTTAATTGTTACTTTGCGGGCTTCCTCACCAAGCGCTTTTCGAACGTGTCTTCCACCATCAAGTATAAATGACAAGTAAGGCCAGCGAGTACGGGCTGAGTGTGGTACAAATATATTTACATCATATACAATATCAACTTCCACGACAATGGAATGACTTGATGCTTAATCCAACACTTCCTTATCAATTTTTTGAAACAGATTTTAAATAATTAACACTAATAAAGCCTAAAGTTACAGTTTTGCTTAGCAATATGGGTCGATATATTAATTTACATGTGAAAATTTTGCGAATTTTAGTTCTCGGGGTCAAGTGAGAAAATGCTAAATTCGTTCCTTAAGAAATGCATTTTTTAGGTTAGTATGCAAATGTATTAGGGATTTTAGAAATGGAAAATGGCTGGGAACTATATTGTAATACGATAGTGGTTTATCCCTCGGTTCTAGTGAGGCGCCACTTTCGTACTTCGAATTAGCCCTCTTGTACCCCGCTGGGTGGGCTGGCCTTTTGGGCCATGCCAATAGCCCAGACACCTTCTCCGTGCTGAATATATATATTCTGCCCGAGTATTTTGTCTTCTTTCGTCTTCAGGGAGTCTCGGGACGCTACAATATAATGTAGTTTAACTGGGTTGTGCGCTAGACGTCATCTTTATGAGGATCATGGTGACCTAAAGGAGTAAATGGCAGAAAGGAACAGATTATAGGGTAGCCGATTCATTTAGCACTGGAATGAATTGAGATTACGGGTAGGAAATCCGAATGACATGATGCATAAATGAATGATGGCATGGATGTGTGAATGGTGAAAAGCAACTGATTGTAGGATGACGGATCCATTTTACACATGATTTCTGATTTGGGATTGAAGGAATGCAATCACCAGGATAAGAAATAAGTTCACTTATAATTGAGCATTCCGGGGTTCTTTGTTTCTTCGAGCTACTCCCACTCAAACTGACCTCATTATCAACTGAGGAAATCAGGCTGTTCAGAACGCCCTCCCACTGCCGATTTTGCTAACCTTCAGCGTGATTACAAACCTCACAAGAGCATTTTTGGTGGCAGACAGGACGCCAGGTGTGCCATGGCTGGAGAGTTGACGTCGGCATTGAAAAGCTGAGACGGGGCTGAAGACCTGCTACCTCACCTGGGCCCACTGCGCCTTGTCAACGAAACACGATTGGCGTTCCAGCAGGCAGACAATAATGATGCAGTTGAGTACAACAAGGAGATGCGCTACACCAGGCACAACCAAGACCAACTTCTCGAGGTGCACGCACGATTGGAGGTGGCTAAACTCCAGCAATGTGACTAGCGCCTCCAAGCCTGCAGAGCCTACTTTTTACGTCTTTACTTGCAAAATCCTTAATTATGTGATTAGGAGGGGTTAGGTTGCCTGACACTATCTATCCCTTCCACAGAGGCAATTCGAAAAGCAGTTGGAACATCCAATGCAAGTTGAATTTGCCTGCATAATTGAGGTGTCAAGGATGGTTTTCTTAGTTACGCGCTGCATTAATATTTGCACTCCACAGCTCTTTACTATTGTGAAATTTGTATTGCACAATTTGTACCTGATTACACATTTTCAGGAGACGGTGGAGTGTATTGAGTTGCGTGCAACTAAAGTGCTTACAAATGCGCTTCCTATTTGCTTGAAGGCAGTTGCTGTGTATCTGGTGGAAGCGGGTAAATCCAACTGTTCCGATGGCGAACCGCTGTGCATCAAGCCCAGTAACGGTGCCAGTCACAGCCATAACTGCTGACACAGTGAGGGGCGGTGGTTGCATCACCAATGCAACTGCGATCACAACCGCACTGCCCTCATAGCTGAGTGGCCGTCCTAAGCATACGATGTCCTCTTCTTCTCAGTCGCCTTAATCAAGAGATCGAGGACTTGGAGGGAGGGGGCAGGTGGATCGGAGTACTAAAACCCTACACTTCTACCCAAAAGAAAGGCTGTTGCTAGCTGTTTACAACAAAGCAGGCCATCTACAATGGCACTGACCAGAACCGTAGGAAAATAAACTGTCCTAGTGCCTTCGCCTTCGGGGCAGTCAAAGACTGGCTTCAAGGCATTCACCTAATAACATGGTGGAAGTAAAGTTCGAAACAATCCACCCAACAGAACTGCTTTATCGTTAGCACACACCACCCAGTGAAGCATTTTATTCGCTTTGGCCAGTTAGTCAAAAAGAGAGGACATTTTTAGACAATCCATATCATGAATGAAGCCACTTGTCAATGCGAGAGACTATTTATTCTATCAGTGTGTCCACAATTAATTCCGTGGAGCTTTTTCAGGCGGCCTGTTTAACCACCGAACCTACAAATGCGTTTATTTCCTTTAGCTGTGCCAAACTCACAAAATCTAAAATTCCATCTTAAGATGTCAAGGCCTACAATCGAATGGTGAAGTGATATCTTGGGTTTTAAAGGGATAACTCTTTAATATTAAACTAATAAAAGGAACCTTTATGTGCTGTCATTGAAAAATGCATTTCCTGTAATTCAGTCGTGCTCTTTATGCCAGTTCTGTTAAGGCTTTACCCAGACATAGAAGTCATATCACGTCTGCAGGTAGGGCTTGGGTGTTGCAATGCCAAATCACTGCACGTCTACGAACCTATCAATGCAATGACAACAATTTCACACTTTGGAGAAAAAGGAATGCCGATTTCTCCTTTAAATGAGAAAAAGGAATCCTAATCATCTAATTCAATTGAAACAAATAGCCAAGACGTTGTCAAAGGAGAGCAGGTTAGGAGTAAATCTTTTATGTTAGTAAAGGAAGCCGGGAGGATATGCAGGTGAAACCGGAGCTCCAGGTTATCTTGTCCTAGAAGAGTACTACTGTTGGCATCATTGCTTCAAAACTAGCACAATTCACATTTCACTCCAAGAGACATTCAGAAGCCTACCCAAACGAACGAGGGGAAATCACGCCTGTGTTACAAGTACCAATGGCAGTTCACCAGAATTTCGAGCAAGGCTCGTTTTATACACTGGTTCAACATCAGAGTATGCTTTCAGCCAACACTCCACTGTTTCCTCCCGTTTCACTTCCGTTTTATTCATTCATGCATTCATCCACTCATTTCCTGATTCCTTCTGCTGTAGCTTGGAATGACAGCTTGAACAACATCCGATTTTGCATTGTTTGAGGCAACTTCGAAGTGAGGCCACACAATTGGCAGTTTCCACTCTGCCCTTCTTCTCAACACATCCATGCTTTCTAACAGGCATGTGTGAATCCTCAACACCCATTCTGCTTAGGTTAGGTGTGAAGACTCATGCTCATTCGGCAGTACAGACTGTTCCCTCCCCCCTGAGCCCCTAGTGGTTAGGATAGCCAAACTGAAGAAAAGGCTGCTTGAACCTATCAAATTATTGGTGCATCCAATCCTGCAGCCACGGGTAGTCTGCAATATCACTGTTCTACAGGAATTGGACTTGTTGATAACGTATGACAACTTAATGTTGGTTTTTAACGGATAAAATAACTTTATTTCGCAGTGTCCCATTCTAAATTTTTAAGAAAGTAAATTTAATTTCCACGCAGGCAGGCCATTTACCCGCAAATTGTCATTCTTATAGCTCTTCACTCACGGTGTTGAAAATCTGCATTTTATTTGTTAAAATCATGTAGTTCCTAGCTTTCGATAAGGTCCTATTTCTGCATAGTAGGCGAGCATACCCTAAAAAATATGATTTAATCTTGTAATAGCGTATGAAATTGCACATGCAGACACCAAAAATATGTTCTTTTGAAAGGTGAATGCAAAAGATGCATTGTAGCGCAATGCAGCACAGCAAAATGATGATGAGGTCAGCAGCTGAGATCTACGGCATTGAGGTCGCGTCCCCCTTCAAGGGAGAACGCAGGTGCCTGTGCCCGTGACACTGGGCGTCGTGGTTATTGCAGTCCACTGTGGTCAGTCGTGTTGACATGACGTAGTCACTTGGACCAAGCTGATACTGGAATCCTGACTGGTGCACAGCTAGTTGTGAATTAGCGTGGTCCACCAATCCTTTTATGGAAACGTTGAACATAATCACCACGATCCTTTTTAATATGGAAAGCTGAGCACTCTTGCAGAGTCAAGAAAGCTTTCCCTTTTGGCCAATACAAAATAATTAACTGCTGGACTGCGTTAAATGGGATGTCAGATTCCATTTCGGACTCAAAACGAGTCCAAAATTTGGGAAACCGTGAGGACTAGGTACTATTAACCATGTAAATCAGGCCATGATGTAGAAGGACATGAGAAGTCTGTTTTTAATGCTGAGGCCGCCTTGACGTCGGCAAAATTATGCAATAAGTGTATCAGGGCATTATTCAAAAAACAAATGCGCTGTCTTCTACTAGAAATGACTTTGTTTCTTAGTTTTCATAATCAAAATACCCGGCATGTCTTGAATAACCCGATAACAGTCTGGGAGAGCCAAATTACTAGACGTAAAGTAGTGCAAATCGAACATTCAAAAAATTGCTTAAAGATCCAATTCTTCCATTCACTGTATTTAAGTGTTTCCTTGATAATATGACTCCAATCCATCCACGGTAATGTATTTTGTCCCGTAATGACTAGCGCGGGGAGATAGAAATCACTTTGGTTTCCCCTTAATCATACAACTCGCAGTTGTCCCCCCATACGTGGCACAATCATACATATTTAGGAAGGCAAGTCCCTCTCATCC